CGAAGCCAAAGTTGCTTTGGACTAAGGGAGCGCGGCCAGCCCTCTGCCAGGCTGCGCGCTGGAGTGAGGTCTCCAGCCCCCTCCGCAGGGAGAGGTGCCCGCAAGACAGCGATGGCCGGAGAGCTCAGCATCGGAGCCGAGCTGCCCACCAGCCCGCTGGCCATGGAGTACGTCAACGACTTCGACCTCATGAAGTTCGACGTGAAGAAGGAGCCCCTGGGCAGGAACGACCGCTCGGGCAGGCACTGCACCCGCCTGCAGCCTGCCGGCTCCGTCTCCTCCACCCCCATCAGCACCCCCTGCAGCTCCGTGCCCTCCTCGCCCAGCTTCAGCCCCACCGAGCAGAAGACCCACTTGGAGGACCTGTACTGGATGGCCAACAGCTACCAGCAGATGAACCCCGAGGCGCTGAACCTCACCCCAGAGGACGCTGTCGAAGCCCTCATTGGGTCCCACCAGGTGTCCCAGCAGCTGCAAGGCTTCGAGAGCTTCCGGGCTCACCACCACCACCATCACCACCATCACCAACACCACCACCAGTACCCCGCGGTCACTCACGAAGACCTGGCCGGCAGCGGGCACCCGCACCACCACCACCATCATCACCACCAGGCCTCTCCCACCCCCTCCACCTCCTCCAGCTCCTCCCAGCAGCTCCAGAACTCGCACCAGCAGCATCCCCCCTCCAGCAGCGTGGAGGACCGGTTCTCGGATGACCAGCTGGTCTCCATGTCCGTGAGGGAGCTCAACAGGCACCTCCGAGGCTTCACCAAAGACGAGGTGATCCGCCTCAAGCAGAAGAGGAGGACCTTGAAGAACAGGGGCTATGCCCAGTCCTGCAGGTATAAACGTGTCCAGCAGAAACACCACCTGGAGAACGAAAAGACCCAGCTCATTCAGCAGGTGGAACAGCTCAAGCAAGAAGTGACCCGGCTCGCCAGAGAGAGAGACGCCTACAAGCTCAAGTGTGAGAAACTTGCCAGCAATGGCTTCAGAGAGGCCGGCTCCACCAGTGACAACCCATCTTCCCCCGAGTTCTTCATGTGAGTGCTTAAAAAAAAAATAATTAAAAAAAGAAAAACCAACCCAAACAAAAAATCCCTACCCCCCAAACCTGACCCCCGTCACCTTCCCCCTCCCCACTTCCCCGTTCCCATCCTCCTCTGACATCTCCATCCATCTGTCTGCTTGACTAGAGAGAAAGAAGGAGAGAAAAATAGAGACTTGATTTTTTTTGTTTGTTTTTTGCAGCATCCAGTCTTCTAGAGTAGCTGTGGGAAAAGTAGGCTGGGGGTGGGGACGGGAGAGGTAAAGTGCAACTTTTCGACTTTCGTGTGTGAGTTAGAGAGAGGGACAGAGGCAGAGGCAAAGGAGAAAAGGACAAGTGAAGCGTTTTATAGATCGCTTGCTTGCAGAACGAGATGGACTTTAAGAGAATACTAATAAAAAAGGACAATGAACAAGCCATCTATAACGTACTGCCTGCTTGGGAAGAGAGAGGACATACACAGCACCATCTCATGCACAATTTACCTGCTTGGAAAAAAAAAAGAGAATAAATAAAAAGGACAATATATGCAAACTCTTCATATATTGCCTGCTTTGAGAAATAAAGTTACAGGACTCAGATGGGACATTCAATTTAAGAAAGAAAGAAAGAATGAAAAAAAAAAAGAAAGAAAGAAAAAAAAAAAACTCATCAGTTTTATTACCTGCTTGATTATATAGAAAAATACGAAAATCTGCATTAAAAATATTAATCCTGCATGCTGGACATGTATGGTAATAATTTCTATTTTGTACCATTTTCTTGTTTAACTATAGCATGTTGATCATCGATCATAGATTTCTGTTGTTGTTTTGTTTCATGGGTAAGAAAAGCATCACAAGTTATCAAACTTTTTACTGCTTGTGCAGTTTTGTTCGTTGGTTTTGCTCTCTTGTTTTCTTTTATGGTTGTTAGCTTGTAAATATCTGCTACTTCAAACCGCACAGGAGAAAAAAAAAAAGACAACTCAAAAGCAAAATAACATTTCAGCAGGCTGGTTATACGGTTGGTTTGGTATTAAAGAGATACTTAAGGAGAAAAAAAAGAAGTTATGGGCATTTTGCATTAGAAAAAAAAACAACTTTGTATATCTGGTGCACTTTTAAGTTGTATTGTTTTTTGAATTTTATTTTTTTTTTTTTTAGTTTTCATTTTGCTTTTTGTTTGTTGGGGCAGAAGCAAAACCCAATGCCAAAAAAAAAAAAGGCATTGACAAACTTCAACTTACCAGGGAAAAAACTCTGCTCGGTCACTAAGAGCTTCCTCCATGCTTTAAAGTGGCAGCGAAGCTCTTCCCCTCCAGGACAATTCCCAGCCTGGAGTGCTGAGCCTTGCTCGTAGAGTTTCCCTTCCGATTGTACACTCAGGAAGCGAAGGACGGAGGAGATACCAGTTCCTTTCAAGAAACAACTGCCCCTTGACTTTCGCTAAATAAATAATAATACTAAAAAACCCCCCTCCTGGTTACGAGACAGGTTGCAACAGCAGCGAGGGCTCCGTGTCGCCACTCGAGTTCTCTTTCTGAACGGTGGCAGCGGGGGAGTGGGCTGAAAAAGCTCAGAAAACTCAAATCTTTCTTTTTTTTTTTTAATTTTATTTTTAAGAAGACATACTGCAACTTTTAAGTGTATTCTTTTGCAATGATTTGTAATCTGCTTCTCTGCTTCCCTATGCAGCGAGTGAAAGTTTTAGCCAAAATTTATTTGCAGTTGTATAGTAGTAGTAGTTTGGAGTCTTATGGGTGTTTTTATTACTTTTTTTTTTTTTTGGTTTTTTTTTCCTCCTGCAGGTCAGTAAAAGGATTTTACGTTGCACTGACAAAAATACCAAAATGAAAACTTATTTTTTAGTTTCCTTTTAGGATAGCTGGCACTGCTGGCCGGATGCATTTTAAGTTTGTATTAGTTTATAAATTAACAGTAATAACAAGATTGTAATGAACAGCATGGTGCTTGCAGTTTTAAATATTGTGGATATTAGTCATGCATCAGAAAACGATCTTTGGTTTTTACTGATTCAACTGTGTTGAAATCAAAACATTGCAGCAGCGGAAAAAAAAAAAATTGTTTTTATTTCATGTAAAGTTCTGAAGGGATCAATTTCAAATCCTGCTTATGATATCACCTGTGTTGAAATCAAAACATTGCAGCAGCGGAAAAAAAAAATTGTTTTTATTTCATGTAAAGTTCTGAAGGGATCAATTTCAAATCCTGCTTATGATATGAAAAATATTAAAAAACCTGGTCTATTGTAGTTTTATTCAGACTGGTTTCTGTTTTTGGTTATTAAAATTGTTTCCTATTTTGCTTATTAAAATCATTGAAATGGCATTTCTTGGAGGGACCTGCTTCTCTGACGTCTCGTGTTCCAAAAAAAAAACAAAACCAAGGCAAACTTTGGGACCCTTCTGTGCCCTGGGCGTGTTGTCCAAGCCGGGACACCCGCCCAGCGCTGGGGGCGGCTC